CTTAATGGATCAATAAAGAAAATTATATATATATATATATATATATATATATATATATATATATATATATACACAATGGAATACTACTGAACCTTACAAAAATAAGGAAATCCTAACATTTGTTACAATATGGGTGAACCTGGAAGACATTTGCTAAGTGAAATAAGCTAGGTACAGAAATAAAAATACCATATGATCCCACTTATATGTATAATTTTTAAAAGACATACTTAGAGAAGCAGAAAATAGAATGGTGGGGCTAAGAGCAGGTGAGAGTTGGGGAGATGTTGATCAAAGGATGAAAAATTTCAGTTAGATAGGAGGAATAAGTTCCAGAAATCTATTGTAAAATATGGTGACTACAATTAATAACAGTGTATTATATTCTTGAAAATTACTCAAGGAAATCAGAGAGGACACACACAAATGGAAAAGTGTTCCATGCTCATGGATAGGAAGAATCAATATTGTGAAAATGGCCATACTATCAAAAGTAATTTATAGATTCAATGCTATTCCCATTAAACTGCCTTTGACATTCTTCACAGAACTAGAAGAAACTACTTTAAAATTCGTACAGAACCAAGAGCGAGCCCATATAGCCAAGACAATCCTAAATAAAAAGAGCAAAACTGGAGGCATCATGGTGCCCAACTTCAAACTATACTACAGGCTACAGTAACCAAAACATTATGTAATGGTACAAAAACAAACACATAGACCAGTGGAATAGAATGGAGAACTCAGAAATAAGACTGCACACCTACAAACCATCTGATCTTCGACAAAACTGACAAAAACAAGCAATGGGGAAAAGATTCTCTATTTAATAAATGGTGCTGGGAGAACTGGCTAGCCATATGCAGAAAATCAAAACTGGACCCCTTCCTTATACCTTATACAAAAATTAACTCAAGATGGATTAAAGACTTAAATGTAAAACCCCAAACAATAAAAACCCTAGAAGAAAACGTAAGCAATACCATTCAGGACATAGGCATGCATAAAGATTTTGTGATGAAATGCCAAAAGCAGCTAGAACAAAAGCTAAAATTGACAAATGGGATCTAATTAAACTGAAGAGGTTCTGCACAACAAAAGAAACTATCATCAGAGTGAACAGACAACATATAGAACGGGAGAACATTTTTGTAATCTACCCATCTGACGAAGATCTATACAGGGTCTATAAGGAACTTAAAACAAATTTATAAGAAAAAAACAAAAAACCCCATTAAAAAGTGGGCAAAGACATGAACAGACAGTTCTCAAAAGAAGACATTCACGCAGCCAACAAACATATGAAAAAGAGCTCAACATCACTGATCATTAGAGAAATGCAAATCAAAACCACAATGAGATATCATCTCATGCCAGTCGGAATGGTGATAATTAGAAAGTCCAGAAACAACAGATGCTGGCGAGGCTGTGGAGAAAAAGGAATGCTTTTACACTGTTGGTGGGAGTATAAATTAGTTATAAAAGTACATGCATGTGTACGTTCATTGCAGCACTATTCACAATAGCAAAAACATGGAATCAACCCAAATGCCCATCAATGATAGACTGGATAAAGAAAATGTGGTACATATACACCATGGAATACTATGCAGCCATAATAAGGAATGAGATCATGTCCTTTGCAGGAACATGGATGGAGCTGGAAGCCATTATCCTCAGCAAACTAATGCAGGAACAGAAAACCAAACACCGCATGTTCTTACTTATAAGTGGGAGCTGAATGATGAGAACACATGGACACATGGCAGGGGAACAACACACATTGGGGCCTGTGGGAGGTAGGGGTGAGTAGGAGGAAGAGCGTCAGGAAGAATAGCTAAGGGCTGCTGGGCTTAATACCTATGTGATATGATGATCTGTGCAGTAAACCACCCTGGCACATGTTTACCTGTGTAACAAAACTGCACATCTTGCACAAGTACCCCAGACCTTAAAATAAAAGTTGAAGGAAGAAAACCAGAAAATCACTAAGAGTAGATTTTTAATGTTCTTTCTCACCACAAAAATTATAAGTAGGTGAGGTAATGCATATGTTAATTAGCTCAATGTGGCCATTTCACAATGTACGTATTTCAAAACATGTTGTTACATAACAAATGTATACTTTTTTGTTAGCTACACCTCAAAGCTAAGGAAAACAAGAAACCAACTTTGGATTTGAGTGTGCCCAAACCAGTGGCCAAAACCAGATTTTTGTGTGTGTGGTTAGCTCTATGTACAATTTTTTCTATCTATACAGTTGAAACGACTAGGAAGACAAAGTGTTTGCCTCGAAGCTCATTGCAGATTCCAGCAGTTTAATTTGAATGAACTGCTTGGCTTCAGAAAGAGACATGGATTGCAGCCAGGCACCCCGTGTGCACAGTTAACAGAGCCCATTCAAATAGTGAAACATTAAAATCTAGTGCAAAGGTCCTCTGTGCTTCATCCAGAATTTTATAGGACTCTAAAGCCCAAACTGACCATAGGAATCACTTTTTGTGACCCAAATGTGATCCATCAAAAGGATGTGATGAAGAGAAAATTCAGTCTGTCCTGAACCAGAGCCAGAGAAGACTGTGTCGGAAGTTATGTCTCAACTTTGAAGATATATGTAGCCATAAAATGAACATAATATCCAGAAACATTCTTGCCAGAAGTTGGGAATTATTGGCAAAGGAAAATAACTGGGCATTGTTTGAACAAGCAAAGACATTTGAAATTTCCTGGTTCTCAAAATCACTGTGTCGCCCTAGGGCAGGTCCAAGGCTTCATCATGGCAGGAGCAGGGCAGGTGGAGACTGATGGTGGAGGGGAACTCTGTGTACTCTAGTGCCAACTTCAACCCAGAAGTGACTATCATTTGAAAGTTGAGGGAAAGCTGAGAATCTGCATGAGACATGTATAAGATAATCAGGAGGACCCAAGCTCTCCAAGGGCAATCAGAATCAAGCATCCACACAAGATGACACAGGCAACTTCTCACATAGAGCCATTTTCCTAGAGCCGTTATCTTTCTCTCAGCTCACAAAAACATGTGACTGCCCGCTCAAAGTGTCCTGTTATGTATTGAGCACAGTCTCCATTTGTAGTATGAAAGGGCAAAGATCCAGTGGAGTTAATTCTCATGATCTGAAAACCATTGAGGGCATCGCATTTAAAGCCACTGGGTTTGCTCCACTCTAAATCTTTTCAATAGATTTTAATTTGACGCTGTTAAATTATGCATTCATTCATCCATTCACTTCTTGACAAATATATATGGCCACTACATGCCTTCCATCTTGAAATGTCGTAACCCCAGCTCCCATCCCATATGGGACAGCTTCCTCTTTCATTCTTTGTAATTCCTTCTCCTTTCTGCCCAGAAAATTTTCTTACGGTAAGCATTGTGGTACAATTTTTACAATGTCCATGATCTGTGTGATGTGCTATGTATTTTCCTTCACATCTATATTTTCTTCTATGTGATGTATATATAATAAGTATTATATGGAGAAAAAGCTAGGGATTTAAATTTGAAGGTTTGGTGATGCTGCATGCAGAATATAATCAATAGCCTATTCCCAATAGCCCAGACAATGGATCCTCATTACAACCTTTAAACAGATATTGGAAACATGCTGCTGCTTTGACTACCTCCTCCACCTCAGCCCTCTACCCCATGTCTTAATGGGCATCACCTTCCTTGACTGTATATTATCTTCAAACCATTTTTCACCTGGAGTTCCTGGAGTAAGCCTAACTCTTAATATCTTTCTGGTGTCTTTCTGAGGAAAGAGGGGAGATGAATGCCTCCTGAATAATCTCTTAAATTTTAATTTAGGCCAAGTGACTCACTCTTTTAACATCATTCAGTAACTTCTTATTACTTTAGGGTAAATAAAGACTTTTTGCTTGACATTCCAGGAAAACTGGATTCTCCTTATCTCTCCAGCATCCTCTACTGCCCTGAACACACTGTTCATATTCTGTTTTTCTCATTCTGAAAATAGAAAATAGGAAATGCGAACAATCAAACCAGTGGTTCTCAAAGTGTAGTCTATGGAACAGTAGCCACAACATTCCCTGGGAGCTTGTGAGAAGTGCAAACCCTTGGTCTTTATCCCACATCTACTGAATTAGAAACTCTGGGGGTGAGGCCACTATCTTAACCAACTATTTTAATCATCCAGATGATCCTGAAGCTTGAGAACAATGAAGTTTTATGTGTGATGGGGGCAGGGGCAGGAGCTTGCTCTGTCTCCCAGGCTGGCATGCAATGGTCCGATCACAACTCACTGCAGCCTCAACTCCTGGGCTTAAGCAATCCTCCCACCTAAGCCTCCCAAGTAGCTAGGACTACAGACATGCACCACTATGTCTTGCTAACTTTTCTTGTGAAGGTAGAGTCTCACTATTTTGCCCAGGCTGGTCTCAAACTCCTGGGCTCAAGCAATCCTCCTGCCTTAGCTTCCCGAAGTGCTGGGATTATAGGCATGAGCCACCACACTGCGCTAAGAACAATGGATTTAAACCATTTCCCATGATGGAAGGCACCAATTAAACACATATAACATGTCTGTTTAGCCTAGTCTAAACTAACAAGGATTGGAAGACTCTAATTTCCTTGGGAGGTCTCCCAGCAGGTTACTGTGGCTTTTATCCTGCCTTCTCACTTTTTGGAAGCTCTCAGAAGAGTGAAGTCCTTCAGAGGAGAGAATATCGGTCTCCTTGTCCATGTTCTCATCCCTCCCATTTCCCCGTGCCTCTGATTGTGTGCCCTCTGTACTACCTCCTCGTTGTTCCTACATCCGTGGGAAATAAAAAGTAGTTGCTTCCCATGAAAAGATGACAATGTTCTTCAAAGTAAAAGTGAAGTCTTTTAAAAGGCTGATTTGAGGTATTGTGTGATCATCCCATGGTACGTTAACTGAGGGGAATGGAGAGGAAAGAGGCACCTTCGTTCACAGAGTAAATTAATTGAAAAGCTTAATATACACCCAACTGTGTCTTTACAGGGTCCACCACATCTTGGAAGGAAATTTCAAAGCTCATTTGAAGTCAGCTCCTCACATAGCCCTGCTTGTCTAACTTTCTTCTGAATGTGATTTCAGAAGTAAAACCAGGCCAGGGGCCAGGACCCTGAGGTGAGTCTCACTGACCGTGACCTCTGGAGAGTCAACTGAAATGGTAAGCCAGGAAGTCATGGAAATCTTACCTCCCCTGCAGTAACAAAGTCTACTCTCAAAGAAATGCCAATGGCACAGAAACCATAGGGGTTGTTTATCTCTTTCTTTTTTCTTTAAAAACATTATAAAAATAACCCAGCAATTTTTAAATGTCAAGAGAGAGAGAAATGAAGCTATCCATAATTTCAAAAGCCTATCCTAGTAACTACTGTAGATTTTTGCCTGAGCTTTTTAGGCTTGGGTCATTTGTGCTCTGTGCTGATGCATTTTTGTTTTGAAGTTTATTTTTTTTCTTAACCTTATCATTCATACATTTTCCCCAGATTGTTGTCAGGCAAACCATGCAGTCCAGAATTATGGACTATCAGAGCTTTAAAGGGTTTTGGAGATAATTTTCTGAAGCAATTCTTAATTGGCTCTTCAAAGACAAGCTTTTGACAGTTTGTGTCACCCTTGAAATTATTTGTGAAATTCTACACTGAGTATGTGAATCTTACTACAGATAGCATTACCCTTGTATTTCATTAGATCTTCAAAGTGGTTTACACACTCTAAAGGTTGTCTATCCTTCTTATGCAGTTATTCTATGTGCAGTCATTCAAGCTGTGTTTTACTCAACTTGTAGTTGGAGGGAAGGGGTAATAGCACATAGGCTATAACATCCTCTAGAGTTGTGCAGGACACAATTGCACAGCCATGGATGGTGGGTTGACATTCTAATCCATCCTTATTTTATGGTTGGCACCACAGAGCTGAGGAGTAATTTGCCCTGTTTCCATAGCTCTCTGCACACATTTCTTTGAACATACTTGCATTATATTGAAGTGATTTGAGAGGATCTATCTGTTTAATTCTAGTACTTAGTGTTAAGAAATCCACTGTTGCATACACTAATGCCATGTTTTCCAATAGCAGCTTTATTACTAACAAAATTTACATTTTATTTTCCCTCTGGTTGACTTCAATTTTTCAATTGATTCCAAACTTAGATAGAAAAGAGAGATGCAATTCTTTGTCCACGAAACCTTAAACATGTACAGGATGAGTCAATCAACAATTCATAAATAAAAGAACAAAAAATAGCTATATAAAACAGTGAGGACTAAGAACCAAATGAAAAATTAATCACTTCTCTAGTCCTAACCTATAGAAATGTTTCCCCTGAGGGTATTTTTGTACTTTGTCATTTCTCTATTTAGAAACCTCAGCTCCCTCTTCTATTAAATTTTGCAAGGGCCTCTGATAGTCTTAACAACTAATAGCTAGTGCTTACAGTTCTCAAAACACTTGCAATTACGTTAGCTCATTTGAATCTCAACAGGAACAGTTGTCATCTCCATTTTACACAAAGAGAAAAAATAACTCAGAGAGATTGAGTGATTTGTCCCTGCAAGTGGCAGACCTGGGACTTGAACAGGGTGTATCTGACTTAAATACATCACGCCAAGGCCCAATGCCAATGTGGTAGACCCTGCCAGTGGGTACCAATATGTGGTTCTTCTCTATGTCCAGATAAACAAGACTGTGTTTCCTTGCCCCCTTAAAGTTGACTATGTTTGTGTTACCAGATATAGCCAATAAAATGAGAACAAAAGGGGTGTGTGTCGCTTTTGGACCAAGCGCTTAAGCCTTTGTGGTCAACTCACCTGTTTTCCCTCTTCCCTTGCTACGGCTTTTAACACATGGAAGCACTTTGTAAAAATCCAACTTCTATTTTAGATTTGGTGGTACCTGTGCAGGTTTGTGTTGTGTGATGCTGGGGTTTGGGGTACAATTAATCCCATCACTCAAGTACTGAGCATAGTACCCAATAGTTAGTCTTTCACTGCTTCCCTCCCCTTTTCCTTCCCCCTCTAGTTGTCCCCAGTGTCTGTTATTTTCATCTTTATGTCTATAAGTACCTAATATTTAGCTCCCACTTATAAGTGAGAACATGTGGTATTTGGTTTTCTGTTTCCTGCGTTAATTCACTAAGGATAATGGCCTCTAACTGCATCCATGTTGCAAAATGCATTATTTCATTCTCTTTTATGGCTGTGTAGTATTCCTTGGTGTATATGTAGCACATTTTCTTTATCCAATCCACCATTGGTGGGCACCAGGATTGATTCCATGTCTTTGCTATTGGGAATAGTGCTGCAATGAGTATACATGTGCATGTATATTTTTGGTAGAATGTTTTGTTTTCCTTTGAGTATATGCCCAGTATGGGATTTCAGGGTCAAATAGTAGTTCTGTTTTCAGTTCTTTGAGAAATCTCCAACCTGCTCTCCACAGTGGCTGAACTAATTTACATTCCCACCAACAATGTGTAGGCATTCCCTTTTCTCTGCAGCCTTGACAGCATCTGCTATTTTTATTTTAAAAATAATAATCATTCTGACTTGTGTGAGATGGTATCTCACTGTGGTCTTGATTTGCATTTCTCTGACGATTAGTGATGATGAACTTTTTTTCATAGGTTTGTTGGCCACTTGTATATCTTGTTTGAGAAGTGTCTGGTCATGTGTTTTGCCCATTTTTTAATGGGGTAATTTGTTTTTTGCTTGTTCAATTGTTTGAATTCCTTATACATTCTGGATATTAGACCTTTGTTGGATGCATAGTTTGCAAATACTTTCTCCCATTCCATAGGTCGCAGTTTACTCTGTTAATATTTTCTTTTGCTGTGCAGAAGCACTTTTGTTTAATTGGGTCTCACCTGTCAATTTTTTGTTGTTGCAATTGCTTTTGAGTACTTAGTCATAAATTATTTCTCAAGGCTAAAGTCTAGATCTGTGTTTCCTGGGTTTTCTTTTAGGATTCTTACAGTTTGTAGTCTAACACTTAAATCTTTAATTCATCCTGAGTTAACTTTTGTACAAGTGAAAGGTAGGGATCCAACTTCACTCTTCTGCATATGGCTAGACAGCTATCACAGAACCATTTATTGAATAGGGAGTCATTTCCCCATTGCCTATTTTTGTCAACTTTGTCAAACATCAGATGGCTGTAAGTACACAGCTTTATTTCTGGGTTCTCTATTCTGTTCCAGTTGTCTATGTGTCTGTTTTTGTACCAGTAGCCTTATAGTTAGTTTGAAGTTGGATAATGTGATGCCTAGGGCTTTGTTCTCTTGCTTAGGATTGCTTTGGTTATTTGGGCACTATTTTGGGTCCTTATGAATTTTAGAATAGTTTTTTTCTAGTTCTGTGAAAAATGACATTTGTAGTTTGATAGGAATAACATTAAATCTGTAGATTGCTTTGAGTGGTATGGCCACATTAATGATATTAATTCTTCCAATGCATGAGCATGGAATGTTTTTCCTTTTGCTTGTGTCATCTATGATTTCTTTCAGCATTGTTTCATAGTTTTTTCTTGTAGAGATCTTTCACTTCCTTGGTTAGAGGTATTCCTGGGTATTTCATTTTTTTGTGTGGCTATTGTAAATGGGATTGTGTTCTTGATTTGGCTCTCAGCTTAAATGTTATTGGTGTACAGAAATGTTCCTGAGTTTTGAACATTGGCTTTGTATCCTGAAACTTTACTGAAGTCCTTTATCAGTTCCAAAGCCTTTTGGCAGAGTCTTTAGGATTTTCTAGGCATATAGTCATATCATCAGTGAAGAGAGATAGTTTCACTTATTGTTTTGCTATTTGAATGCCTTTTATTTCTTTCTTTTGCCAGATTGCTCTGGCTAGAACTTCCAGAAGCACTTTTTGATATGGAGGTGCTATAAGACAAAAATAGCCTAGAATGATGAGTCAACATACAGAGAAAATTTTCTCTGGGAAGCTATCTGGTCCTGCAGAAGACTTTGCTTAAGCAAGAACTTAACTTTCACTGTGGTCAGCCAAGAAGATTTTGGGATTGTTTGTTGCCACCGCATAACCTAGCCTACCCTAAATAATACTGGCAGACTCCATACATCACTGGGTCTCTCTCCCTTAGATCTCGGACTAGTGTTCAGAGAGGCATATTTTGCCATGCACAACTGATCTTCCCTCACACAATTCAGCAATCTCTTTGGCTGTTTTTCTCTTGAATCTTTAGTAAGCAAGTTTTAAACTATTGATCTGCAGGAGATACAGTCCAGAGGAGGAGAGCCGGGGAGGGGCAGATTCCTGAGTGGCTGAGGGTAGAGAGAACCTCAGATGTGATGAATGTTACTGGCACAGTAGATATTTGGGTTGGGTCACATATGAATTTGCCATGATTGCGTGTAGTGGCCTAATGAGATGAAGTCAACATCATTGTTCCAAGACTAGTGAAAATAGAAAAGATCAAAATAGCAGAAGTCAGGGCCAAGTAAGAAAGGAGATGGGCTCAACTTGCTGGGAGCTGATTCAGCACCACAGACAGATCCCATGGGCCCTCTCCTCTAATGTTTTTTTTTTCTGAGCAGCTCAGTTTTCTCAGTTTAGCTTTGCTGTTGAAGAGTCCTTTTTGGCCTCCTAATACCTAGTTCCTCCTAAGTGAGGACTAGTAGTGCTATAGGCAAGGCACCATATCTGTATTCATCCAGTACAGTGCTTCCCAACTTATTTTTCTCTATATTATGTTGTGCATAAGAATATTTACCTGGCCTCCTGGGATAAATACTTGATGCCACTTCTGGCTGGATGTGAAACCTGTGAGCTTCAGTTATCCTAGGCTCTGCCTGATGGGCTTAGGTAATCAATATACTGCACATTTATAATTTGCTCATGAGAAGCTCTGTTCCAGTCATCTCTTCCTTACCCTCTGCCCCAGTCAGACCATAAATGACCAGATCATATAGACGTCATTCTCCCAATAGGTGCACTACACACACCTATTACAGTACTGATAATACTCTACATCATATCTCTTGTGCCCCACAAGGTGCAGCATGAACACAGCAAATCCTTTTTGAGTGAGCTCATGCATTTGCTTTTATGTAAAGACTCCAGACCACCCCTCCAGACCATAGGTCTTATTGGGTGACTTGGAGGCAA